AATACTTGAACAATACTGTTTTGACATATGCTTGGTTGTTTGGGGTCAACTCTTAACCAACCAACCTAAGCTGTTACAGGGTTACTCTTGTATAACCAACCTGCTGACTGCGGTGGACAGATGGACAAGCATCCTCGATCGCAAGGGAAAAGTTGATATCATTTACCTTGATTTCTCAAAAGCTTTTGATAAGGTTAACCACTTGTGTCTTATCATAAGCTCAAACGACTAGGTATCAAACCACCTCTAATCGATTGGCTTACTTCATACCTAAAAAATCGACACTTTAAGGTTAGGGTTAATTTCACTTTATCTCAGGCTATGGAATGTCCTAGTGGGGTCCCCCAGGGCTCAGTACTAGGGCCTCTTCTCTTCTTGATCTACATAAATGATCCTCCTCAACAGTAAGGTCAGACTTATTACTTTTTGCCGACGACGTGAAACTTTAGAGAGAGAGATACTCAACCAAGACGATATACAGGCACTTCAGGAGGATTTGACTCGACTCCAAAGCTGGGCAGACGATAACGGACTTACCTTTAACACTTCAAAGTGTAAAGCAGTCCATGTGCGACATGTCGCAAACTACAATTACAACTTAGGAAACTCCTCTCTAGTAGTATCCCAAGTCGAAAAAGATTTAGAAGTCCTGGTGCCCATGATTTGAAGTCTTACGCTAACTGTGACAAAAATGCCTTCCGATCAAACCTTCCACTGGTAACATTGAAGCGCATTTTTGGCCAGTTTACGGACGAACTTTCCATACAATCTTCAATAGTTTTCATCCGTCCCCATTTAGAGTACAGAAACATAGTACTCCCCCCTCACTCCGAAAGGACGAGGTCACTTTGGAGCGTATCCAAGGGCGAGTCACGAAATCAGTTCGAGGACTCAAATCTAAACATTACGAAAAACGCCTCCACTCACTAGACCTTTGCCCATTAGAGTATAGGCGTCTTAGAGGTGATTTATTAATGGCTTATAGTATTCTTAACACTTCTGGACATCCTCTTAAACACCTACTTAAGCTTAGTTCAAATAATAACCTAAGGGGTATCACCCAGAAACTGGAGACACAACATAGCAAGACGGAATGTAGACATAACTTCTACTCCTTAAGAGTTGTCAAAAGCTGGAATTTGCTGCCGGCCGAGCTAGTGCAAGCGACTTCTCAGGAGTCCTTCAAGAGGCAACTTGACCTATTCTTAAGGACCATGACAGCATCACATTATGATTTACCAATTTCTTTCCTCTTTTATTGTTAACATACCTAGGTTCCTGCCTGGAGGCTTTGGTGATCCCCTACTACTAGACACGAAAGCCTGTTAAGCGAAAGCTTCTTCTATTCCGTCCACAATCATTTGAACCATTTGAACCATTTGATCACATAAAACCTACTGCGCTGAGATAAACTAAGGTTACACAAATCTACAAATAGAACTAGAGCAGTGGATTTTTTAGACTACTGAAAATTTGATCAAGGTCTAGAAACATACCGGTACATTAAGAAGCGAGCTCAGAGAAATCAATTATTCGGTCACAAAGATAATGGATGTTACTTATACGACCATGCCGAATGAGTCATACAATAGGTCTGTACTGTTATATATCAGAAATTGTTTCTACTAGACACTAAAGCTTCTTTTAGTGTGAGATTCTTACATTCCATGGGAACTATTTATTGCATTTGCTTTGTTTCATTAACTCAATCAGTATATGGATCTCAGAATTACGCGGTATCTTTGAGCTGTTTACGAAGATGTAGGTATCTTATCATAGCTATCCTGTTAAACTAAGATTGTCGGTATAAATTAAATGCTTTTCTGTTTATCTAGGTCAGCCGATGCAGGAGCCACTAATGTTGCCAATGGAGGGACTCCTCAACCGCGACCACAGAACAAGCGCCTGCAACAAACACAAGCTCAGGTTGATGAGGTAGTAGATATCATGCGAGTAAACATGGAGAAAGTTCTGGAGCGCGACGCCAAACTTAGCCAGTTGGATGATCGAGCAGGTATGGTCCGCACCATAGATTTAATGTGTTTTCATTTTACGATTCTAAGTCATACCTTGCTACTTAGAAATAAAATTTGGTGTTCGCTACCTGTTTCTGTAAACTGTAAGTATGTAGCTCGACAAGAGAAAAATTAATGACGAGTATTGAAGTGATTACCACTTAAGATGGGTGAGGGTAAGCGCGTGAGCTGTTATAATTGGGCATTTCGTCCAAAGTTTCAGGTCACCAGTTCACATCATTCCGGGGACGTCAGACTTTAAGTTTAGACTTACTTACAACCCTCAGGTCAGCAATAAAATTCCACTCAGTTTAGGAGGTTGTGTATCCGATTATTCTCGCGATAAGTACTCTATATATGTGATGTAGCCTGCATATTATCTTCAGATTGATTTTAAAAAGCTGGTTGTCGTTTTATAACAATCTTTCGACGTAGGGAGTTATCTCTGATCAAAATGTTTTGACTTTCCGTGACTCCTAAGAAAGCGTCACAAGAAGTGTGAACAGTAAACTGTTGACACATTAACCCACTTCACTTACTGTCATTTATATAAGCACTGACACAGACCGATCTTGAATCAGAATTTTTTATTAGGGAGAGACAAATATCTTGGACATGCTCAGTGTTCAGAAGAATGTGTCTCCCAGACATGGTAATCGGTGGTCATGTTCGATCATCGTTGTGTCTGAAAAGTAGCAACACCATGTTCGTGGTGTCGAAGTCAGCGTCTTTCGGTAATGACTAAAAGTGAAATTCAGCTAAATGAAAATCGCGTCTATAGATATGCTTCCAACTCCCATGATACCAGTATCAAAATGTAATCCATCTCAACATCTGGGAACTTATGTGTAAAGACAGGTCAGTTGATTCAGTTTAAAAATGCGGAGCTACAAAAAAGAGGAGACAACTCACTCAATATTTCTTATTTACGAATGGGGTTCATTGTGATTTCATTCTCACAGATGCTTTACAGGCAGGCGCTTCACAGTTCGAGGCCAGTGCTGGTAAATTGAAGAACAAATATTGGTGGAAAAATATGAAGGTATGTATGTTCAGCTATTTGAAAACCCTTATTGGTTTTAATTTCTTGTATGGTTTCTGTTGATATTAGTGAATAGCGATATTGATGAACTCTCATACTTTACGTTACTAATTATTCCGCCCTATTTCCGCGAGTGATATAATAGCATAACTTTATCGTCGGTGATAAATTAAAAGACGGTCGAAGTTGCGAAATCGTGTATTGTTATTGTACCTAATTAATGTAAAGGGCCCTCTTGAGGTTTAGTCATCTTCACTTGCAGTACTATTTAATAAACAAGCTAAGGTTTGAGCCACTTTTCGCAGATTGAAGATATTTCTGGCGTCGAAATATGAAACCAAGTTGGTCTGCAACAGATACCTGAAATGAAATAACCTAATGTCCTTAGGAGTTAGTCTTACTAGTGTTATTAATAATCTCAGTATCAAAACTGCTGGAAAAAACTATTCAGTGGTACAAAAATCTTTTTAGCATGAAATCTCACACCTTCGAATTTACGATTCTGTTGATTGGATAATATACTGAAGCTGATACAATAACCTCTTCGTTCAGAATAAGTCTGACCTACATAACTTTGCTAAAATTCTTATGTTGTTACGCCTTCGTTTTCCTAAATAAGCGTAATATTCTTAAATTATCATTGTGCCGCGGTAGGTCTCAACCAATCATGTAGTCGTTTACAGGAATATCGTACTTCACAATGTTGTAGTTGGCACTGTATTTTTCGGATAACTTTTATTGGTATTGGTTTCTAAAATGATTGATCAACAGGTTGTAGTGGGATTCAAACCAAGTTTATGTAAATCACTTCTCAGTTGAACTTCGAAATCCGACTTAAAGTGAGGTTTTGATGCCTCTCTGAACCTCATTATTCTTCTAAACCGTTTCGTGGATAACGGAGTCCGTCATTCACATTCTTTACAGTAGTTTCCGGTTTTAATCGATCCTAATATTAATAGATTAATATTAGACTAAACAGTATAAGTTTAATCAATAATAGTATTTTAGGGCCAGAGTTAACCCCTTTTTATTATTGGGATTTAGTTAGTAGTCAACCGTTGTGACCTATTCGGTAACAAACTGAGTCGGTGACTCATATGACTGACTCAGATCTGATTCGCATTCTTGAACTGCAGCCACCTATGTGTAGTGTATGGGGTTGACGAGTTAGATTGTTCTAGAGAACCGTATATCTTTACAGAACAATTAGAACAACCACCAAGATTTTCATTCCTAAAATTCATATTACTACATAATATCTTGTTTATTTTCAGATGAATATAATCATTGGTGCAGTTGTATTGGTACTCATAATAGCACTAGGATGTAAGCATTTGTTGGTAATATGTAAATTTCTTTTATTGCATGCTTCATCCGTTGTTGTTGTATTTCATATACTGCGCTGTGATTGATCAAATCGACATTTCCTAAAATGTGTTTACGTCAACTATAATTCCACTTTAAACGAAGTGCTTGCATTGAACAAATGAATTTACTTCCGCTTTACCTATGAAAATGTTATTTTATTTATAGATTTGCTACATTTTTAGACTGAAAAGTCCAACTAGCGTGTATTCATACTCAAAAGACTTTATTTAACTATTGAAGAGATAGTATTTTATACAATTCCTGGGTTTGCAGGTGTCTGTTTGTAAACTTTATATCATTAGTCGCTGTACGATTTTGGAGTTTTAAAGTTTTTAATGTGTATATTTTGTTATTTCTTGCATTTGTTGTAAATTAGAATGTTGTGGCACTTAATGTCGTTGGTGTTGTGTCCTTTTAAAATGTGAGTGTTATTTGGTGAGTTATATGTCCGCATAAGTTTCATATGCTTCAATTTTTGTAGATACATGAATAAGGTGCATTACAATCAGTCATTTTTATTGTAAAGTTTTTGTTCACAGTGATCCATGTTTATTTGTGCAAACTCTGTTAAACCGAATTTGTTGCTGACATAAGCATTCAGCCAATCACAAAGTTGAACCTGGCACATATATACATCAGTTCAAGTTTCCACACCCAATTAGCACACTGAGATGAAACTGTCAGGGTAAATCGAAGAGCAATAGAATTAGTAACAGTATTAGTGGTAATAGGGAAGATTGTGCATAAAACATATAATTCGAAAAAATATGATATAGTGAAGTAAAGAATGAGAAAATGAATTTATGGGGAATTCAGAAACTTAGATAGAATCTAAGCTAAGACAAATTGTAAATGCACCTGCACACGATTATGATCCATGTCACCCAAAGTCTTACAACTGGCTAAGATAACCACGTGGACACCAACCAGGTAATCTCCACCTGACTACATGGCCCAGTTTAACGATCAGTATCTTCACGGACTATCGACTCAATAACCACCTGTTCGCAGCGAAAACTTGGAAAAATTTTCATTTTATGCTGAATGAAATCAACAGGATCCACGGAATAACGCCTATTAGCTGTAAAAAAGTTATTTGCTTTTAGCATGAGGTGACTGTTCAATAAGATGTATATTTAATGTCACTTCATACTGACTTTTACTCACGTAATTATATCGATCACAAGACTCCTTGATATTGAGATGATTCCTGTTAGTGTAGACTGTTCTCAATAATATCGTTCGGTTAAAAAGTAACCGCTCTTTACAACGATTGGATCGGCAAATTTTATAACTAAATATGTTTATATAAATCTGCACCCCTTGGGCTTATTTAAGATTTCCTTCCAAAGATAAAAGTATTCTAAGCATCCTACTTTATCGATCCGTTACTCTTAATGTCATGGTACTTGAGTGGATTTAGATTTTCGGCACTAGCATCCTTTGCTTTTTGAATAAATAGAAACTCCTGCTTGCTTTAGTATTCGTTTGTGCTGTCTATTTCGTCACTATTCTCCTTCAGACATTAACATATAATTTCCAATTAAAGTGATCGAGATTCTTTGGTGTTTGGCACAGCGGGAGTTATTTTATCTGGATATTTCTAAGTAATACGTGGTATTTTCTATGATCCAGTAAATATACGTGTCTTCACACAAAGGTTAATTTTTAAGACAAGTATTGTCAGTCAGTCAGTCAGCTACAACGTAGGACCAGGCACATATGTGCATCGGTCCAGGTTGCCATACCTCATTAGCACAGCAAGATGAACACCGGATTCATAAAAGTAGTTAATTCAGAGGTGGTAATGACAAGTATCATCATAATATAGTACGTAGTAAAGGATGAGCGAGATATAGAGAGCGAGGCAAGGAAGAACGCTTTTCTTGACTGACCTTATCTACAATACTACAATACAAGACAAGTACTGTAGATAAGGTCAGTCAAGAAAAGCGTTCTTCCTTGCCTCGCTCTCTATATCTCGCTCATCCTTTACTACGTACTATATTATGATGATAAATTTATTCAACTTCATTGATCTCTCCAATAATTCTGTCCTGATATCCATTCTTTGGTATATGTCATTTTTCTTAACTAGTTTAAAACAGTCGGACCGGAAAAGTTGTTTTTCTAGAAAGCCTAGTTGGAGTTCAGTAACTTTTTATCAGGTTGCTAAAATTGTGGCTGGCTGTTTATTATCTGAAAACCATCAATTGCAGTATTTGACTATCCAAAGTTTTTTAGTCAAAGTTAACTCATGTAAACAACAGTTAAATATGTCTATAACCCAGAAAGACAACTCACAATTTAGTATCATCTTCAGAAGTTTCTACATTTAACTTCTGGCATAGGGTTCTTAAACTGTTTTCTGCACATTTAGCTAAAAGATTTCTAGTAATATGTTAAGATTATCACACCCTTTTCGCGGTTTTCACGATTTTTTTTGTCAATTCATTTTATACAGGGTATATATTTGGCGGGAAGTAAGTTGTTTTCGCTTATCTATTTGACTGTGATAATGGATTTTTTTGTTAAGTGCTTATCACGGTGTTGCGTGTGTTTATTATCATGATGTTGACTAGTCGGTCGGCTCTTTTGATTACTTGGAGTAATATTTATATGATTGTTTTGTCCTGTCACTGATTGCATATTAGTAAGAACATAAGATTTCTGTTTCTCTGTGCGCAATAACAGATAATCATCATCCTGCACAAACCTGTTCCACATGTGTCTCTCCCACTTCTAATTTTTGCATACTTTATTTAGCTGATATTCAGTTTTTATCATGTCACTTAACCAATAATAAACATTTGAGGATTGCTTTACCATTTAAGGTGCACATTGTTAAACTGCTCATTTATTATTGAACAATCAAAATTTGTTTGAGACTTATGTTTAGTGAGTTTTTTAGACAATTGAGATGAAAGTATGCGATACTGACGAACTTAAATGACTTATCAGCCGATCAAGAAACTGCCTAATTACTAAACAATTAACAGCAAAAGACAATGAAATACAGTAGTATAGTAGTCTTGATCTAAATAATCAGCTTTTACGTGTCGAATTATTGGTTGTAGTAAAAGGAAAAGGTTATGTTCACATATTAGTTTTGTGAGCTGGGGTTATCATCCTATAAAGTTCTTGTCACCATCTGTGATGCAAAATGGTCAGAGTTAAGCTAAGGCTCTGATTTGGTTTCTAAATAAGATTTATGGTTTTCATCAACCGACATCAGGTATGGCGCAATGTTTTGTTTCCCTTCTGTTTACAAGCTTAAGATTTAGAGTTAGAGAGGGAATATTATTTAGTTTCACTAAAAACTGAACTACGCACTTAATCGCATCAAGTACTTTAACACACAATCTGCCTTAGGAGTGGACATGTTTTGGAATTTAGCTTAAGCACCACCTAAAATTCAGTTTTTTTGGTTGGATAATAGGTATTTTTACTGATTTCAAGAATCTTAAGAACCAAATATTACTTATTTTTTATCCGTTAATAGTTATCTACCACTGCACTTTAAATTTCTACCTAAATACATAAAACGTTATTTTAACTCGAGCCGCCAGTATACTATACCTTCACCCCTTTAAGTAGTTGTATAGATTTTTGTTCATAAAGTCATTTTTGACTTTCACATGGTTGATATAAAAGGTATGAACCAATGTGCAAAGTTTAGGTATTCTCAACTTATTATGAGTTGTTTGAACGGCGTATGCTCTCCGTATTATTGAGCAACGCATGGTGTAAACAACTCTTATAAGCTCATTCGTCACTTTATTTTATGTGATAATTAATTTAACTCACCAGTCACATGTGATAATGCTATCCGGTTGCCCAAACAAAAGTAAATGGAGCGGGGTTAAAACCCGGGACTTAGTGGCTGAAAGTTGAACGTTTTAACTATTAATTCACACCAACTTAATCTTGTTCTTGTGTGATAATGTATTTTAATTCGAGTGTATATAAATATATTTTAGAACTGTCGATTGATTCCAGGTTCCCGAAATTTGCATTGTTCTTCCGATTGATAATATCTACGTTTTGTTTTATGGATTACGGCAAACTTATGTTCCTTCGCTGGTGCATTGATTTTACGCAAATACAAAGTAAAATCATATTGATTTAGGGCTAAGGGATAAGTAATCGCGGTTCTGGAGTCTCACCTCGCTCATGGTAACCCAATACTTATGCTAGTATAAATGGATGGTAATTAAACACTCAATAAAACGGTTACCTTATTCATTTCGCAGGAATGCTATCAACTTTCTTATATATGTATAAAAGGAGAGCGGTGTTGTTTTGTATCATGAATTACCCATTAATGGGGTCTATAAAAAAAGCTATGCTATATTGTCTATTTCCTTATATTGATTAGGCTTTGTCAACAGTGTAATCTATCGGAGTAGATTTTCACTTTTCATAATGATTCTCAAAATTGTATGAATCAGTCTGCGACAATCAACTTAGTGGCAGAAAAGTATTTTGACACAAGCAGCTATACCACATCAGCACGATTCTATGAAATTAACAAAGCAACTGAAGAGTCTAAATAATAGTAGTATAATATAAACATTGAAAATATGGTTAAAAAGAAAGTACCTTTGTGGGATTGTCTAACTTAACGAGTGTCCAATTAAAGGAGTTTTCACGAGGTTTATTTGCCTTTCTGGTATATGCCATTTAATGGCGAACACTGGCACTAAATCTTTGGATTGGAAAGGTCAGACACTGCTCTTTAGTCAATACTAATCAGTTGGGTACCAATGTGTCTGAATCTATTTTAAAGCCTCGTTGAGATCAAATTTTTGGTCAATACATCTACGTCCAGGTCGGAAACACGTTTCCTTTGGAATTCTACTTACGCGTTGGGTTATTGTGGGAACTGATATTTTAAACTTTATTAGTTAAACAGATTTCTCTAAACTTGCCACATGATCCCAATCTTTTATTATAGGCTGGGACAATCACTGATAAAGACCAGTCAGATATGACTAGATTCCATTTTTAGACTATCTCTAGTGTGTCGCAGCCAACCTAAGTGATGAAACTGATCCCTTATCCTTAAAGATATCTGGTGTTAACCTAATAGATCATACTGCGCTACTTCGTTTAAATTTAGATATGATCTTTCTGAATTTCGCAAATATTTGGGCGACTTGTGTTAGATTGTTTGAAAGTAATGGGTAATTTGGGAAAGAATGAAAGTCAGTTAAAATATCTCTTAAAGTTCCCTATCCATGATTACAATTCGCTGAGCAATGAATTGCCGTTGTCTTTTTCTGAAGTAGTCTCACCGACGGCTGATATTATAGTACCTAGTGTTACCCATTGCTGTTGCATCCTCAATCCAATTTGCTTTTTTTGTCAACAATTGTCCGTGATCGTTGTCAGTTTACTTTGAAGTCGTTTTTCATCAATTCAGTAAAAGCTTATAAAATCTGTTATTTCCCTAACTTTTGGTTTAAACTAGTAGTATCAGCGCTGTATTTTATCCAGTAAAACGCATCAAAATGCACGCTCTATGAGAAGCGGTCGTCTTCTGTCACACACATAAATGGTAGCTGGTAGCAAGGCAGTCTATTTTGGGGGTCACCTGGTTGAATAGTGTCTCTCTTTATGATAGTTGGTACTTGCTGAGAATAAATGATTATCTAATCCATAGTTACTGACCAGAAATAGCATTTTGTTCACATTAGTGACACACATAAAACTCAAAGCTAGATGAGGACGGGCGATACTGAAAACAGAAAAAAGATGAAGCAGTGAATAAGAGATTTGAGGTAAACAAAATGACCTTGAAGTATGAGGGCACTTATCATTTCTCAGACCCACATACTGTGGAAGATTGTCTTTTGACACCTGAGAAGACTGGATTAGTATTGTCACCGCCGTCATATAGCAATCTAAAATGAAGAAGACAAGCAATCTGTACTGCAAGCACTTAAAACTGAGAGTACACTATAATGAGTATTTAAGTCACTTGATTCACGTAGACTAAATTATGTCTCACGTTAATTTAAATGACTGTTCAGAAACTCGTTCCTATCGAAACGTTCTAACATATCCAGAGTAAATAGCCGCATTACGAAAACTGTTACCCGATACATCCTGTAGCATGTAAGTTTGCTGGGTCATAGTTTACAAAATAGCTCCAGTCAGATAGTTGGTTAGTAACGCAAAAACATTCTTGGTCTCATTAAAAGGTGTACTAGACGCGTCCACTACCTTGCTAGAGGTTTTTTAGTTAAATAACCATTGCTAAATCATGGCTTATAAGGTGCCATACAGAAGTTTTACGCCAAATAATGTATGTTAGGGTTTAGCAGTCGGTCATATGCAACGTAGATTCTGACATGTACATCGGTTCATGCTGCCATATCACGTTAGCACAGCGACATAAAGTTGTCAAGACAATCCCAGAGTAGTAACGGTAGAAAATAACAAGTATAGAGAAAGATGTGAGGAAATTTTGGAACTCAATTCTTGGAGTGAATACACTTCCACCATTGCAAACGATTGTGAACCATGTCACCCACGTTTTCAAATCATTAGGATCTGCCAATTTCATCTATTTTTTTTCATATCTTAGAGGCACCAGTTTTTTCTTAACCTCTTAGCTACGATCCCATATTGAGAAACACTTATCAATCCGAGATACACAAAACAATTCCATCTGGCGAACATTCACCCAAACGAGGACTGTTACTCCAGTTGCTGTTCTTCAGAAATAACTAGTTTGGGATTTAAAGTCAAAGTAATTGTATATGTTGGTCGCCTCGTTTATCTCACTAGTAATATATTTGCCTACATAAGTACTATAGAACCCTTTCATTCTAAATATCAAATTACTTAACAGTATGTTCTAAGGAAATATACTTCATGTATTTTTCGTTTAATTTCCAGGACTATGCTTACTTTGGAAGTCATCCAAGTTATCAGTTCATTGATATGTAGCCTATAATCCTTGCCGATTATATTCATTCTAAGTGGGTTAATGACACGTACAGATGAGTGAGTCCTTGAGATGTATACCACACTAAGTGTATGAAAGTTGATCTCGCTAGTATAAAATTGTCACTTGTCGAGCCTGAAATGTTGAGTATGTGAAGATGTTTATAAATGGTTGATAAATGATTATAATTTTTCGTTTTTCTACTGGATTCTTTCTACTGCGAGTCTATTTTACACAATGTTTTCCTTCCATAGGAAACAAGAAGCAGCTCCTGCACCAACAGCTTTACCTCCTCCAGTACAACACGCCGCACCAAGTTCTCAGAGTCAGAAACAGCCGTTGAAGCATGAAGCTTCTCACAGGCGTCGTCGGGAAGCTTCAATGTTCGGCACTACTCCCCAATAACAAAACAGAAACTATTAGCATTCATAGAAGTGGAAGTTATTCCAATCAATAGGACTACTCTATCTTTTATTTTCACGTGCTAACGCGCGAAATCTGCATCTGGAAACCTAATCACTAAGTTATCCTACTATGCATTATGTCGATGACCTCCTATCTTCGTCTAACTTGTTTCATTTACAAAAGAAATCACCATTTTGGTGTTTGTATGTGATTTCCTTCCTCGTGTTAAACTTTTTGTCAGTATCATTTGTCTCGCGTCAGTTCAATTGATTCTTGCCATTAGGGATTGTAAAGCATTTCATTGTTGTTTAACTCCGGAGTTAAAACTACAAATTCCCGTATGATTTGCATTAATTACGTTTAATTATGTTATCATAAATCATGAAAGCTTATGTTCAACTTCCTCTCGTATTACTCTTTTTCAAATCGACATTTGGATAAATACACATAATCATAGTTATATATATATATTTATGAACTGGAGTGTGCTACAGTTATAAAAGGGGGCATTTACAACTCGCACAGTTCTTGTATTCGTCTTTCGTCATGAAAGCGCGACCCACACCAGTTTTCCGATATTCACTACGCATACTTAAGTATTCCTCTTCAAATTTTTGAAGTTCATCTAGGTCTAGAAGGTACCTGAAGAAAGAAGAGAAGTGCATCCAAATGACTCATTGTGCAAATATTAGGATGGCTTCCGATATAAATGGTTAGACTCAGCTTTATTTGTTTTCGTTTAAGTGATAACGTATATTTAGATAAAACTATCTTACCTCATCTGACACTGTTCAAATATCTGATATTTAGGTTTGCATTTCCAGGTACCGAACCACTCGCCTCGTTTTCCACGTATGCACTTTCGCCAATCTTTCCACTCTTCTACACATAATTCACTAATAAGTTTCTCTTGTACAAATTTTGAAATTACGTTGCTGCGTTCTGTACTCGAAATATACTTACTGTTAGGATCACCTGATTAGACATATAAAACAACAGGCAAGTTACCAAACCCAACTGGGCCTCCAGTATAAGAAGCATAGCCTTGCATCTTATTTCTTGTAGATTTTCACGATTAACTGTGTGTATTGTTAAGCTGAAACGAGAATAAAACAATGACACATAGTATCTCCGGAACTTATTGTAAAAGCAAGTACTAAAAGGCGGCTATAATGTCTCCCTATCTAGTATTTTTTGCGGGGATCACGGATCAGCATGAGTTTCGAACTGTTCAACAGTATAAACATTTAACTTTTGTCTCCATTTTCTCTTTATACGTTAGGTGTGGCTTAGAAAGCCGCATAGTTTTGGGTTTGATAGTGGGAATATTAATATGACATAAGTCCCCAAGTATGTTACTCCACGGAGTGTCAGTCATGATTTCTAAGATAGGCTACTCGGTGAAATTTTTGGATTGCAGTTAATTATACTCGACACACCAGGTAGATATTGCATTCATCCGACTATAGATCATTTTACAAACATTACCAATTTGTTTACGAGAAATCATGAACTAATTTGATGACCGCGTTAGGTTTATTTGTAACTGTGATGAAGTAACTCTGATCAACCAGTTTGTATGATTTGCCTAGTCTAACCACATAATTGTTTAAAAATGTGAGTTTTATTGAAGTACGCGTGCAGATGTCTTACTATGATTAACACCTGAGGTTACTTCTGGAGAAATAAGTTAGATAATGTGGTCCTATAGTTTGTACGAATGCCTGACCAAAACAATGTCAGGAAACGGTAGTGTAGAAAAAACGGTCCATATAATCTTCCAGAGGTTTACACTGACAATCAAACCGCTTTGAAACCCTCATACAGTTGGAAATTAAGGGATCTACTATCAGAAGTTACACCTTACATTTACCTGACAGCTTCACGTAGTGTTAAATTTGCCTATCAATTAAAAACAAACATGAAGGATACCCTAGTTTGTTCTATGCGGTAGGCTGATACTATTCTGCCGTCCATGCTACCAAATTTTGAATTAATTGCCACTGAACACCATGTCAGTTAAACGTGTATCTAGTGTATATCTTTCACACATGTTACTTAAGAAACATGTCAGTGATAGTACCTAAAAATGACAGCTCGAAAGATGGATAAGCGCTTTCTCGAATATTTTGGAAGAAAAGGTAGTGTTTCAAATAATCTCATGAATTGAGCATCCCACAAAGTTTCTTGCAGTAACTACGTATACGTCAGATGAAAACTAAAGTATGGGAAAGGAAACCGTAATTTTGGTCTAAAACACTACTCAAACCTCAGTGGAATCGGAAATGTACGGACCAGATTTTAAGGCTTAGAAATACACATACCCAATCAAACAACAAAGGGGATCCTATTGCAATAAAAACTATGAATACAAATCTTCGTGTGCACGTTTTAACAAGACGAGAGGGTTTTACTATTAAGCATACCACTTAGTATCAGGTAGCTCACTTCATGGCGTTTATTGGTATAAAATATCCACCCACAGAAGTAAGATAATTTCCCATATGGACTTCGCTAAATCAAACCTACCTCCTTGTCCCAACGGCCTTGAGTGATGGCAGAAAAAATGCAACTCATGAGTAGCTTTACGGTAAGAAATCCTAGTTACGTTCATCAGAGTACACTGATCCCATGCTTGTGTTACCTCTAACTGCTATCGATTGTTTTGATCAGTAATAAATGACACATTCCATAAGTTTACTGGATCGTAATTTCATTTTGTATTTCGATAGTTACTCCTCTTTATTCACTCACAATCTGTGCCTCACACTCCTTCAACACCTGAGGTATCTTCAGGTTAGATCTTTACCTGTCAAAGACCGAACGTTTCAGACATTATGAATCTGTTTTCTGTGCACAATAGGCGTATTTCGTGCTCATTTTAGTGGGTGAACAATGCATATAAAGCATACTTTTAACTGAGGATTACCATTGTAGCTCTATGTCCTCCATTGTTTACTTTATTCGTCTACGACGTTTGCGAAGCGCATAGAAACCTGAAGCGAAATCAATTGCGGGAATTGTGACGTTTTATTCAGCGTTCATCCAATTAGTGAATTTGAATATACTCTGAAATGCCAGATGTTGAGCTTTTATTGGATACTGAAGATGGATGGATACCCTCACACTGTATATATAGTACGAAATTTGACCATATGACTAGAATTGCACTGTGAGTAAGCCTCTCTGTAGGAAGCAATTTTCTACAGGTGTAACTCTAAGCTATTCTCTTGACCATCGAGCACAGCGTCTTGGTTTAACCAAAGTCAAAAGTACTAAGTTATTTGGCTTGATAAACTTTGCTTGTTTCTAAGGCATAAATTATCATAGTTAGCATACAAAATAAACAATGCAGTCTATCAACCCAGGCAAACACAGAAACATAAATAACATACCGAACAGTAGCTAGAGGATAGGAAAAATGAGACAACAAGGCAAATATTGTTTTATTATGAACATAAAATTGAGAATGATGAATAAACAAGACAATCATACAAGGTTAAAGAAAGTTAATGTGGTGGTAAGCTTTTCACTTTATCGCTGGTGAGTTCGTTTATCGATCACACTTTGAATCACGATGAGGTGAAAGTATATGAAGGTCCGACCTAGCCGAAGGCTCGATGCATGCTGAGATAGTACAAAGAAATACGAAGTGGATAAAAGCAAAAATAATAGTTAACCGATGAATCATTTTGATGTTTTCTACATCCCCGTTGCAAATAACCTAAATGTGAATGTCGCAATAACACATTCAACACCTAACCTTGCAAGTAACTGAAAATTTGCCACCCCGTGACCATAACACTTAACAATATTTCACTCTCATATAGCCTCCGTAGTTCAAATTTTATATTTTCCAGTTTTTGCACCACATCTTCTAATTGTTCTTCTTTTGCTACATACTTCTTACATTCTTCTCATAACTATTCAATAGACAGCTAACTTTTGAGTTTCCTACTGACCCCACAACATTTTGCACACAGTAGACACTCAGTTTGCTTCGGAACACGACTAAAAAAACTTACTATGGCCAGGAATTACTCAGGTGGGAAATCTGGAGCACTGAGTAACTGTTCGTAAGAAACATCATCATCCATAATGTGGTGTGAGTCCCTCATTATTTGTTTCCTATCGGTTTCCTTTTTTTACCATGTATGTTGCTATCCGAACACCGCTTTTCAAATCCTTACTCACTACATTAAAAGTATTTCATTCAATCACTCTTTCACCAGCTAGTTTATTTCCGCTAACTTGTTTTGCTTGGAAACTGATACTTTGCGGGATGTCTCGATTTTCTACATACGGTCTGTCAAACTATCTGTCCAAAAGCTTGTACATGGTACTTTTAAAAAGTGCTTTCTATCAAGGTGTGGAGCACAATTGAAATGTAGCGAACAACTGCAATCTAATAATTATTTCCAAATGAGTCCAGTATGGAAAAGAAATGGAGGATAGAGTTAATAACCAGCAAGCATCAGCGATTCCAATCCACCCAAGTCGTAGAGCGGGACATTTCATTCGTCCACAGGTCTTTACAATGGTGGTGTAATGAACAGAACACGAGTGGGGACAATCGAATGTATTTAGCACAAAATTACTGACTATCTCAACAAAATCTGAATACCATAAAGTCAATCGTCAATTTGCAAAATATCAATGCATCATATCAAACTGGACTGTTTCCGTTGCAAACACTAATCCATTGTCTCCCATTCCATTGTACATGCGTTTTCTTACAAATTCCATTGTGCTCTCGCTCTTCCTTTCTTGATCTTCACCTCATCTTCTGCTGCCAGATATTACGTTTTAACTCGCGACATATACTACTTATATCAATATAAGTAGCACACACCGCAGTGGCAATACAACTATTCAATTAGTCTTGAGCCTGCTATGTCAGATATATATACTATAATTGCTAACATAATAAACGTTTCGTTGGTAAAGGAACCAAGCAAAAATCATTAACACCTATCAATATTGTAACATTCTGATTATCCAAATCAAAACTTAGTTTTATAAGGTTTCAGATGCATCGCGTATGCTTGAATTTGAAACTTCCACCAACACTTTATAAGAATCATGAGATGAAACAACGAAGGAAGATTAGCTAAGAGACACCATTGTGATAAACTAACTCGGCAGAACAATAAAAACATGAAGTTCAGCGAAGAGATCTCTCTTCAACGAATTTATTATCAAGCTGTACAATCGTATATAAATATTAAAATTTTTTGTTAAGGTACTAATTCCGCAAAGAAATGTGAACACGAATAATCAAGATGACGCAATAGTAAGATTACAATACTAGATTATATTATGCGAATAATCATAAGAGATTTAGTGAATGTAATAAGATCATTAAAAGGACTATATGATGATTAGGAGTAGTTGAATTATAGTACGAACTAAGAATACCAGAAATAACGTAATCGGATCAAGAAGTACTAGCTAAGCACGAACGAATGTATTGTATTTGGAATTCGAAATCAAGCATTCAACAAGTACAAAGGAATCATTAGTTCATTCAAACACCACAGATTAATAATCATTTTTGTTGCAATAATTAAAGACCATAGAGGTGTAGAAACAAATAAGGTGATACGACGAGCATTTATGATAAAAATAATGAGAATATAAGACATAAGTGAAGGGGAATACAGTGATAATAATAATGTTAATTAAGACCATGGTGACGATAACGGTAGGACGTACTTCTTTTGTATGCACAGTTCTGGTTTGAGCTCATGGATGGTAAGACTATCGGCTCTGTTTAGAAGTTGGATACGAAGAAATCTGGGTAGATTTGAACGAATTATACTTGCAACCTTAAAATTAAACTGTGGATCCGTAGAATGATTACAGTTGATTAAGTATTTATGTATAGAACCCCTAACTGCTCTTGTCTCACCACAGTAGAACCAAACTAGGACATGTTCCCGTAAACGAGTTGAAAGCGGGCGCTGTCTACGGCCAATGTACCTTGTTCCACAAGAGCAGATGAACCGGTAGATGCACATGGAGGCCTTTATTTATTGTGATAAAGCATTTGTAATCACTTTATTCATCTTATTACATTCACTAAATCTATTGTTATTGTTCGTATTACGTAATCGAGTATTGTAATCTTTCTATTGCACATCTAAGTTATTCGTGTTCACATTTCTTCAAGGAATTAGTACTTTAACAAGACATTATCACCTATATAAGACTGAACAGATTAATAATAAATTCGTTGAAAAAAGATTCCTTCGCTGAACTTCGTGTTTTTTTAATTTTTAATGTTTAAATGCGAACAATAGAAGTCAAACCGTGAATGAAATTATTTTTTTTCATCAACGACTTTGCAAGGATGAAATTATGAAGAGTATTTCATGTTGGGCTTTCTATGGTAGGCTCTGTGTTTATAAGCTGAATAACATTTTCTGTGCAGCCAGATTGTATACTCTGTAAAACGCTATCATTGACGGATAACCTCATCTACCGTTTTACTGTTTTTTTTCTCGTAGCTAAAAAGATTTCTGTGATTTGTTAATTGTTTTTTATCTTCGGCTAAAAATGAGTGAGTGCTCATATTTTTCAGCCAATGGCATTTCCAAACTTGTTTGTTCAATCTGAAGTTTTCCTTTAGAAAGCAGTAGTAGGAGCTCATGTCATATCTTTACTCAGCTTCTGTGACTATCCTCTCATAACAGTTCTTCAGGTATTCGGTATCACTGCATACTTTAAACGATTTCTGCCAAGTATAAGCCTTATAAATGCAAATAACTTGTTTTCATTATGTTTTTACAAGGTGAAGTCACCAAAACGGCTATAAACATATTGGACAGTTTCACCATGTAAATCTAATTAATACCTAGTTGATAAATATCCACGTACCATCTATTGCGAATTCTTACTGATTTAATGATGTAGTCTCCTTACTAACACTAGTGGGATAATATCTCATTTTTAAACCATAGTTCAAGTTATTACTCTTGCCTGTAAAACTGGTCTAAGCCTGATCGTTCAGTAATAAGCCATTATTGATCATTAATACCAAAATTGTTAAGAACTCTCAATAGATAAGTAGGAACGCTGCTTTTCTATGAGTGTCCCCGTACATCTCACTTTTCCTGATAGAAACGATGGCACTTAACTCGGTTGAATACACATGGGACTATAGATAGTTAGTTTGCAGGCATTGGACTCTAATTGTGCGATCCCTTAGTTGGTGCCATTTTACCTCAGTCATATCACACGACGAATAACTAGTCTGCATTTTCCTACGCGATGACCGGCAGTAATCTATTTAGATTTTTTGAAGGACGAAAAGAATTTTTCAGAATGATTTTGTGCACTGAAAATGAAAAATTAGGAAAAACTTCGGTGTGAGAACATTTCATTGCGAGCTGAGTAATAGGTTGCGGTCGATCAGTCCCCGTTAGTCACTTCATGATATTCGGTAAACTCTTCGCTGTCAACTATTAAATTGTACAATATAGAAACGGTTTAGCTTGACGGATAATCTTCCAAAGTACATAGA